AAGCAGTCCATGTTACAAATGTCTATTTTATGGTTAATTTAAAAGGTGGCAGCTCTGTCAGTATAATGCTGAGTCATAAGAATATAACCAGAATTATTTGAGGATATGATGCAATGAATAATAAAGTATCATTTTTGTTTATGCTAGCCTAGCCTTAAGAGGTTGACATTGTGGACCACTTGCTGGTGGCCCAGGACCTCCTGGAAGGGTCATTGCCCCATTCCCTTTAACTTAGGCAGGTGGGCACCAGCTCAGCAGAAAACAAAACAAAACCACTACCACCAACAACAGCTTGTTTAGTACTCCTATTTTATGCAAGTTTTGGCCATGTTCTCAGTTTTGGCCATGTTCTCAATCTCACTTTTCTTGTTGCCCAGATAAATATTTATGCAGTCATTTCTCCTTTACAGATACCAGATTCAGCTTATGGTGTTGAGCAGCTCTGGCAAGAGACATTTTTTCCTCTTTAGTTGGCATCAAGCTTACAAACAGACACCAAGGAAGGACTGTGTCCATGTGTAAACAGCAAACATGCCAGCAAATACAGGAATGCTGACCAGAAAAAAAACAAGAGCTGAGAGCAGGGTGTTGGCAGGAACATAGGCCTAGAATAATGACCAGGCCTTGCCAAGCAAGACAAGTTTGCCATATTTTAGCTATTCTCTTGTTAAGAAACAGAACTTTTCCCGACCAGAACTTTAGCTAAATCTGACCTTGTTAGCACAAACAGCTATTCCTGGGAGCAGGCAAGCAACCATGTTGCCTTCTTCAGCCTGCTTCTCTGTGGAGACAGCTCTGGCTCCTCTGTATGAACTTACAAGATTGCAGCAAAGCCCTATCCAACTATGTGCCTATCAGGCATGCAGCTCTGCACATGCTGAGGCTCTCTTCCAGTCTGTTCTGCCTGCCCACGGGCACACCGTCCTTCCCACATCCTCTGTGCCTGCTTTTATTCTCTCTTGTTCCTTGCCTTGTCTCTTTAACTGGTGACATCCTTGTAACAGGACTTGTTTCTTCAGGTATGTCTGTATGGGCCTACCCTGCTCTTCAACATTCAGATGCCAAATTGAAAGGGTAGACAGTTATACTTGAAAAAAGTACTATATTCACATGCATTGTATTTGTTTTATTGACTTGTAACTTATTAATGAAGAAGTTAAGCCAGACTTTGTTTTTTACCAAATCATGCACTTTGGGTTAAAAACATCAAATGTGTTAATTGCATACAATGAAACTGCCTTGAAAAAATCCTGATCTGTCCCCCACTTCCCATGTACTCCTGTTTCGAAATAATAATGTTGATATTATCTTGCGTATTCCCAACATTAAGAGAATGCTTCCATTCAAAACTGTATGGTCCAAAGAGAGTTAGATTAACAATTTAAATTGAATGTTAGAGAAGGGCCAGAGCTGTCACTATGCCATTCATAATAAAGGCTTATAAAGATAATTGTTTTCCAGAAATGAGGATAACCTTTGAATTTATTTATTTAAAACATTTCTATGCCGCCCCCATCTCCACAAAGACTCAGGGCGGCTCACAAAGAATACATAAAAACATACATAAATAATAATAATATAACAATTAAAAAAAATTTAAAAACCCCGGTGCATTCTCAGCTAAATATTTTAAAATCCTAATTAATTCAATAATTTAACAATTAAAATAAGTTCTAAATAAAAAGGTCTTAGCCTGGCGCCAAAAAACAAATAACGACGGCGCCAGGCAGACCTCTCTGGGGAGCGCATTCCATAGATGGGGCGCCATCCCAGAGAAAGCCCTCCTCTGGGTACTCACCCTCCTAATATCATTCACAGAGGGTTCCCGGAGAAGGGCATCCGTTGCTGATCTCAAGGGGCGGGAGGGCATATATGAATGATGGTACAGATTTTTTCCTTACAAGTCAGACCTCCTTTGCCCAAAAGACATCTCTGGCCCACATCTTAACAAATGATGGGTTGGTTCTGAGCATGAGCTAGCAAGAGTGCAGGTTCTTATTCACCTGCCCCTTCTGCTTTCTGAAACAATCAGGGATTCCTAATTCCTGGGATGTTGAGACATGCAAACTTGGCATTCTGGTTTAAGGTTAAACTCTCGGTTGTTTAACCCTAGACAACCAAAAGGCCAGATTCCAATGTAGCAACAATCCAGGAACAGGGTGTTCCTTGCTTGTTTATAAGTGAAGACAGGCAAACAGACAGAAGGCGACATGGTTGTTTACTTGCTTCCATGTGACCATGCCAATGCCTGGGTTGTTTAACCCAAGAATTGCTGCTTTGAGTTTAGCAGTCAGTTTCAGATGAAGTTCTTCAATGCTCTTGTCAACAAAAATTCAAATAATACCCCAAATATTGCACATTCATCCTGCATGGCAATGCTTGGTCATTATTCTAGGTCTGTGTTGTACATTGAACTAAACAATTGTGTTGAGCTAAACAATTGGTGTGGTTATAGTATAGCAGTTCACAACACTTTTTCTACTCTCGGCCAAAAGTCATCCACTTTGGTTACCAGTGAGATCCACCTTTCCCATTCTAACCCCACTCTGCAGGATTTTGTAACTTTAGATCTCTTTGACATATTTTTCCTCATGCATGAACTCCTTGACAAATAATGTATTGTCTGAGAGCTGCCTGTGTTGGCAGAATATTCTCCAGGGGCAACGACAGTCCTGTATACCACGTGCTACAGCAGTTTAAACGGGAACAGCCTTATCTACCTATTTGTTACTAACTTATTGAAAACCAGTCTGGTGTAGGGGTTAAAGACACAGGCTAGCTCAGGGGAAACCAAGCTTCAAATTTCCACACAGCCATGAGACTCACTGGTTGATTCTGAGGCAGTCACTACCTTCTAGTCTGGTCTACCTCACAGGGTTGTTGTAGAGAAACATGGGAAGATGGTATATGACCATGAACTCCACAGAGGACAAGTGGGACATAAATATAAGAAATAACTTACTTAATAACAGCACTGTGTCCTACAAATCTGTTGTCTAGACTGCATTGTGCTAATTAAATAGGAATCATCACATTTTACAGAATAAATCTTTATGTGAACTGGTGGAGTGTGAGCCATCCTTGAAAACAGCATCTCAGCTCATGTTAAGTGAAAACATCAGGAATGTGTGGGCTTTTTCCGTGTAACTTGCCAATTAAAAAGAAAGAAAGAAACAGAGAAAGTGGGGAGGAGCAGTGGGAGATGCTAAAGCAACAGAACCGAGGGAAAAAAGAAACAGAGGAAATTCTTTTTATAATGGCCAACTCTCAAATTGAGTGCAGTTTTAAATCTTGGATGTGTAAAAAGCATCATAAAATCTAAAACAATGGGAGGTTTTCCATTTGTAGTGCATTCTTAATGCAGGGCATTCCTGAATGCTTTGGTACAGTTGTATTTTTTTCCACTGAAGGAGAATGGCCACACATTGTATACACGAGATCACACTTGTCTATTTCTGGTATTAATTAATTATGTGAATTAATTATGTGAAGCTGTTTGGGGCCATTTGGGGCTGGTTGGGGCTGGGCTGGGCTAGGGATTATGTTAGCTTATGATGGGGTAGGTTGGGCATGGTAAGCTGGGGGCGGGGGTGCCCCCATAGGCAGGTCATCCAGAGGTTTGGGATGCAGAGTGATCAGTACACTGATGACACCCAGCTCTACCTCTCTTTTACATCTAATCCAGGTGAGGCAGTGGCTGTCCTTAATTCCCCAGAGAGGTCCTCCTGGTGCCGTCATTATTTGTTTTTCAGCGCCAGGCTAAGACCTTTTTATTTAAAACTTATTTTAATTGCTAAATTATTGTATTTATTAGGATTTTAAATTAGCCGAGAATGCACCGGGGGTTTTAAATGTTTTTTTTCCCTTTTAAATTGTTATATTGTTATTGTTTATGTATGTTTTTTTGTATTTTTTTGTGAGCCGCCCCGAGGCTTTGTTGCGATGGGGGCGGCATAGAAATGTTTTAAATAAATAAATTGCTGCCTGGCTGGGGTAATGGGCTGGACGAGGACTAACAAATTGAGACTTAATCCAGACAAAAGGGAGGTCCTATTGGTAGGCAGTTCAACCTTTTGGGTAAGTGATGTTAGCCCTGTTCTGGATAGGGTTGCGCTAAGGATGGGGTGTGTAACCTACCTCACAGTGGTGCTGTGATTTAAAAAACAGAGGGAGAAGCCCTGTATGCCACCTTAAGCTCCTTGAAGGAAAGGTATGATTTGGAACATAGGTGAGGGGCAGTATGAAATCAACAGGTCTTAACTTAGTTCTAACTTGTCCTGTTGATTTCAGAAGGTCTATTCTAATTCTGGACCCTGTCCAGATCTGGTCCTCACTTTACCATAAAGCTCACAGAGTGACTTTGGGCTAGTCACTGATTCTCCATCTATACTATTTCACATTTTGTTGTGAGGATAAAAATGGAAAGGAGAATTATGTAAGCTGCCTTGGATTCCTTGCAAGAAAAAGATGGGGATCTAATATATGTCGCATTCTGTTGCTAGGCAGGACAGAGGTGTTTTGGGGATTTTGTTCCTCAAATGTCAAAAAACTGTGGTTCGCCTTGGGTATGGCCTATGAGGGGAGAGTTCAGTCGCTTTTTGATGCTCTCTTCAGGCACTGGCCCTCACCCAAGCCCAAGTTTACCTAAAGTTTCCTTCAAACTGTGTGTCCACTTTTAAAATGTGAAAGGAACGTTGCGGGTGAGTTGGTAAGACAGCCGGAGGTGCTGAAGTAGTTAAGGTCTTCACTGTCCCTTTCCAAAAAGCCACCCATGAGGATGCCTAATGTTCAGAAGGCTCTTAAGAAACGTCCTCAAAAGGGTGTGCCAGTGGAATGCGGAGGTGATGTTCTTCTGATCTGGTTACTGACCCTGCTCCCTTACACACATTTCCAGTGCTGCAGTTGTTTACGGTTGGACTGGAGCTGGGCTGGAGTTATCTTGACATTTCTGGGAAGAGACCAAAAAAAAAAAAAAAAAAAAAGTGGGGGGAGGAAAAGGGGGTAGGAGAGAAGACTAAGAAAGGAGAGAGCAAGGTGAGGAGAAACTTTCCTTGAGATCACGTTTGATTGGGGTGGGGGTGCGGAATTCTGCCTGGAAAATCTATTAGTCCCGATGCTTTGGCTCTCGGGAGACAAAGGAGTTCGACTCCACGGAGGAGGCCGGGACTGATGGGAAGGATCATGGAACTTTAAAAGAGAAAGAAAGCTCAGAGCAGCAGCTAGAAACTTCGGCGAGATATGCTTCTCTGTGGCTGCTCCTGAAAAGAGGGAAAGCAGCGGCTAGATGGAGAAGAGCAAACATCCTCTAGGAAAGACCCTGTCGTTGCCGGCTTGGTAAAGAAAGAAAGAGAGAAGGAAGGAGAGAAAGAAAGAAAGAAAGAAAGCGAGCCTAGTGAATCGGACGTTCCCTGGAGTGTGCTTTGTAGCAGAAAAACCGCTAGGCTGCCTGAAGCAGATCTACATGGAAAAGTTCTCAGACTGAAGAAAGGATCTGAGGGAGAGACACTTCTGGAAGAAGTTTGCTGCAAAGCGTAAGTTGCACACTGCTTTGCTGCTGCTGTGCCGTGTGTGTGTGTGTGTGTGTGTGTGTGTGTGTGTGTGAGAGAGAGAGAGAGAGAGAGAGAGAGAGAGAGAGAGAGAGAGAGAGAGACGTGTAGATTATATAGTCCTTTTGGCTTTCCTGTTTCAATAAATCCCAGCTGTCCATTGACGGTGGCTTCAGTCCTTTGGTTTAAGGCTGTGTTACCCCAACAAAGTTTCCAGTCCGTGAGAGCACCAGAGTCCTGGCTTTGTCAATCTCGTCAGGTTCCTTTGTCACTGAAGAGTGTAGCTCCCGGTACCTTTTTTGGAGAATCGCATTTCATAATCATTATTTCATCTGTTGCAATCGAGATTGCATGCATTTGCATGATACCAGAGTTACTAATTACTTTTCTATGTCTCCCCAATAGTCAAAGTCCTCTGGGCAATTTACACAGACTTCTCTCCTAAAGCAGAAAGACAGGCAAATTTAGACTGTTGTTGATCAGCAGATTTTCAGAAGGAGGTTGAAAGTATTTCTATCAGCCCAGGAGTGGGGGTGGGGAATCCTGTGGAGAAGATTCAAGGATGAGTGTTGGGCATCTGTAATTCAGGAGTGGGCAGAAGGTAAATCAGGAACTATTGGTGGATATCTGGGAGATTTACAGTAGATTGGCAATGCTTTGGGGCTCTCAGTGGTTTATCAATGGCAACCGCATTAAAGTTAGGCTGCTGAAATGATGTGAGTTTGGAGAAAATCAGAAATGGACTTTTGTGTGAAACACTGTGAGCTCTGATACTGAAAGCAAAATTTTAGGCTCAGAATGTGCTCAGAAACACCCTGTGCTCTATGTCTATTGCACCTGGTTCTGGTTTGTTGGCACTGGGGTTCTAGTAAAACAGCCTGTGTGTGCACATACACACACATGTGTGTGCATGTGTGCCTACAGAATAGACCTTTAGTCTGTGCACCCTGCTTGAAGCTATATGAATACCCAGCATCATCCTTAACACTTTTCTTCTCTTTTCTTGTTTCTAAAGTAAACCCCACAATGAACTGGGCACCAGTGGTGAGCATAACTGTGCTGTGGGCAGCATGGATAGTGTGTGCTTTGGAAAAACCATTAAGGCAAGCTGACAGAGGGAGTCCAACAGTCAGAAAAGCATCCCTAGCCTACCAGGGCAGTACTAGCAGATCAGCTTCACAGACAAGGAGAACCAAGGCATCACACAGGCTTCTAAGTCCTTCTGGGAGGTTTCGCCAACGTCCCCTTGTCAAAAGAGATTTTTTGGAGCAGAAAGGTCCACAAGCAGCTCCCCCAGAAGGTATGTCTCATGTCCTGACAAAGAACAGTGGCACCAAACGAGGACAAATGATAAGGCCTAAGCCAGATATGATTAAGGATGAAGGGACATCCACTACATTTCGATCACGCACAGTGCGCTTCCCATCTGGGCCTAGTTCTCCCAATATTCTGGCCAGCTTTGCTGGAAAGAACAGAGTCTGGATCATCTCTGCTCCTCATGCTTCTGATGGTTATTACCGGCTCATGCTGAGCTTGCTGAAGAATGATGTCTACTGTGAACTTGCAGAGAGGCACGTTCACCAGATTGTCTTGTTCCATGAGGCAGGTGAAGAAGGTGGGAAAGTCAGGAGGATCACCCCTGAGGGAAAAATTCTAGAGCAGCCTCTAGATCCCAGCCTTATTCCCAAACTCATGAGTTTTCTGAAGCTGGAGAAAGGGAAATTTGGCATGGTGCTGCTGAAGAAGACACTGCAAGTAGAGGAAAGGTACCCCTACCCAGTAAGGCTAGAAGCCATCTATGAAATCATTGACCAGAGCCCCATTAGGAAGATTGAGAAGATAAGGCAAAAGGGCTTCATCCAGAAATGCAAAGCAGCAGGAGCAGAGGGCCAGGTGGTTGAGGAAGGCAACAATGGTAGTACTACCAGAGCAACACCAGGTGGTGGACATAACCCGTTGGTACCAAGGAAAGAAGAAACCAGGAAAAGCAATGTGCAGCCAACCAGGGTTAAAATTGCGAAGAAAGTTGTAACAACTACAGTGCCACCACCTCCCGCTCCTGCAACTAGAGCCACTACCTTTCCTCCCACAACCACGACTCTCAGGCCAGTCACCAGAATAACGACAATAGCAAATAGACCTGTAACAACTACCACAACTCTTCCTATTACCCAGAGATCCTGGACCACAAAACCACACACGTTGCTTCCCACAGTGCCTGAGGCAACCACCGCTCGGGCAACAGAGAATTTCTCCTCTCCTGCATGGAAAGAGAACCGCAGAGAAAGGCATCCGGGACACACGCACAGGCAACAGACAGCTAGTAGGAGACCCAGCAAAGTCATTAATTATGATACCTACACAGAGATACCAACAGCCACCCCAGAACACTACACTAGGGCAAGTGCTGGCAGATATAGAGACAACCGCACGGACAGAAAGGACTATAACACTAGGGAGCCCAGTGTCACAATCGGTCAACACAAACCTGCTAAAAGCAAGCCACCGAAAAAGAAAGCCCAAGACAAAATATTGAGCAATGAATATGAAGATAAATATGACTCAGGGCATCCTGCTGTTCCTCATTTAGAGGAAGGTGACCCTGTGGGGAATATCCCACCAAAGAAAGGGAAAGATCCCAAGAAACACGAGCGCTTAGATAAATCTGAAAAGAAGAAGAAAGTGCGAGTTGACAAGAAAAATGAGAAGCAAGCCAAGAAGGATAAAGCTGAAAAGAAAAACAAGCAAGAGAAAGAGCGTAACAAGAAAAACAAGAAAGGAAGCAAAACAGAGAATGAGGGAATCCTGAAAACGAATGCCAAATCTTTTACACAGGCCTCCAGGAAATCTGTGACGAACCTTTTGGATTTCTTTGAAGGGAAACGAAGACTTCTGGTAAGTAGATTATGCAGGAATATCCATCCCTTACAGTCTATTTGCAAGTTAAATTTCTATTGAGGCCCTATGTTTACAGAGCCCTCTTTTGAACTATACCAGCCAAAGCAAGCAACCAGAGCATGATTTTTATATTTTCTTTGACCCCAGCTAGTAGGAGGATTTCAACTAAGCTCAGAGGGAGCTCTGTGTGTGCATGTCCCTTTAATGTGTGCCTGCATGTTCATGATCCTTGGTCACTGGGGTAGTAGCAGTTGATCTCTAAGAGCTACCATGGGAAGGGAAAAGAGGTTGCAAGATAGGCTCTCAAACAACAATGATCCTTACTTCATTAAGGACACAATCTTACAGGTCATGCTAGGAATTGGAGGACTTCTTTCATCTAAACATGAATACAATTGTACACTAACATGTTACCCAGCCTTTAATAATTTTACAATATACTGACTATTCTTTCCATGGCACTCACACCAAATTGCATTACAGCTTCCTCTTTAAAAAAATAAATAAAAGCAGATAGAATGAATTTGTCTATTTTCTGACTAAAACCATCTAAATCCAACATTGCTGATCAGTCATAAGTAGGGATGAAGTGAAAGTTCTGAATTCCAACGCACATTTAGTGGCCTGCATTTGCCTAAGGAACCAAACGCAGCTTTTCTCAGGTGAACATCTATTTAGGATGGCCCAGGAGAGACATGAGAATCCCAAACTCAGTCATATACATAAGTGGGAACAGTACACCTTTTCTTTTCTAACTGCTTGGATCTTAGGAAAGGGAAGGAATCGCTTCCTTGACCCCCCTGCCTTGTATCCCATCTGCCACAGCGTCTGCCTGCTTGCTTTGATACCAAACTTGTGAGTGTTAAATGTAGCCCTTTCCCCATAAAAAGCCGCAAACCAGCATCATAGCTGCATGTCTGAAGAAGGCAGTTTTCAAGAAAATTACCAACCACAAAGATGGATTGTGAGGTTGCTTTCACACTAGCCCTTTTCTCCAAAATTACTATCTTTAATTCACTAACTTTATGCCAAGAAGCCAGGCAACACTGTTGAAAATCTTCACCTTCCAGTGTTTCCTGACTTGTCTTTCATGTTTCTTCTAATTTGATTTGTGGAGGAACCTTTTTTAATGAAAGACAGGGACAGGCAAAATTTTCTTGGAAGGTTCTAAAGGTTATTATGCCTTTAATGAAGAGTTTGCTCTTTACAAATTAATTATGTTTTATTAAGTCATGTTCTTGTGGCTGGAGTAATTACTGATTAATTACTCCTTAATTACTTCTGATCCCCCGTGGGGATATAATTACTGGTTTCTTCACTCAATTTCATTTCTCTCTTTTATAATCCCCCACCCCCAGCACCCCTTTACTATAAAAGAATGTAAAAAAGAAGGACAGAAAGGGTGAATGAAGAAACAATATAATTGCAAATTTAGAAATAATAACTGTTGTTAAATATAAATATAATATGTCTCACTGTATGAGGAAAGACTGGCACCAGGTGACATTTGGACAAACTGACTCTGCTGTCTAGGTATTACTAACTGTTGATGGGCTACTTCAAGGCCCCCATCTGCCCACAAATATAAATATATGTATTTTCTAAACATTTAAGCCACCTTTAAGGGTAGAAATATCTTACAGCTCTCCAACTTTAAAGCAGTTCTTGACCAGCAGTCCTTAAAGTTCTCCAGCTTTAAAGACCATTTAGGGTTTGCCCAAGCCATTTTGCTGTCTGAGGTAAAATACAAAATGGCAGCATTACACTCCTCTGACCAGACCAGCCACTGAATACTGGAGACAAGACAGCATTTTCCATTAAACTTAAGAGTAGTAAGTGTAGCCTAGGGTCTGTAGACCATGTGGCACACACTGCATCGTCCTCCAGCACGTCACCACTGATCCTTTCCACCTCATACCTGCTGCTTGAAGCAACAGCCTCAGTCTACCTAATAGTTGTGCTAGCTCTGAGCCCATCAAACAGAGCAGTGGTTTTCAACCACTGGTCTGTAGAAACGCACCAGTCCATGCAAAATGTCCTGCCAGTCTCTGGGGCAGGGGCACATCCCACTCACCATGGAACAGTGCGAGGTCTGGTTGTGCTCCACCGCCTCTTCCTAGGTTGACATTGTGTTCATGGGGGATGCGCTGGTGCTGTCAGGGGGGCAGAGAGAGGAGAGATGGTTTGGTGGGAGCTGGCTGGGAGCCACACTGCACTGATTTTAGTATTTTGTTCTTTTGCTGGCAATGTTTTGGCTCAGTTTCTGGTTGTTTTAGAGATTTTTTTTGGGGGGGAGGGGGTGGATATTGTGTTTGGAAACTAATACCCAGAATGCTGTATTATGTGTATGGTGCTTTTTTCTGCCTCAGCAGTACCTGAAGTGATTTTCCTGTTTTCGCCAGTCCCAAGCTGTGGAAAGGTTGAAAACCACTGATAGAGAATTTTCCTCTGTAAAGTTGGCCATCCTACACACCAAGCATACACTTAAGAACAGAGCATAAGCACATAAGAAAGGTCATGCTGGGTCAGACCAACTGTCCATCCAGTCCAGCGCTCTGTTCACACAGTGGCTAAACCAGCTGCCTGCAGGTTCCCTCAGGCATGAAGCATCTAGCTGTTTCAGCACTATTCTCTTCCATTCAAGGAACTCTAACAGCAGTATGAATGGCAGATGTTGAAGAGGTGCAACCTTTCATGACATTTCTATCTTTGACAGCTTTTTTTCAGCAAGCTGTCAAAGATTCAAACCTTCTTTTGGGAATTTAGGTGGCAACTCTGTTTCTACTTAGAAAGACACTTTCCAAATCAATTTTCAAACACTGATGTTTCACTAATCTCAAGGCTACTGATCAGTAGAGTGAATATTCTACAAGCAGAAGAATATTGGAAGCACTTCCAATCTCAAAATTACCAGGTATGACTGGAAAAATCCCTCCCTGAAACCTTTAGAGAAGCCACCAGTCAATGTCAACAAGACTGGGTTAGATGGACCAAGGGTATCACTGTATAAGGCAGCTTCCTCTGTTCCTGTGAATCAGATCTTGAATAAAAATGTAAAGTCTCACTATTTGTGTGTGAGGGGGGAGAAGTTGTTGATGATTCAGACCCATGTGAAGTTCTCTACTAATAGTGAGAAGAGTTGCCAAATTACTAGGAAAAAATGGCCTGGCATCTTCCTGTGCCTTTAGCATCAGCCTGAAATCAACAGGATGTTTTTGGAGCCCTCTTGACAACATCTGTAGATCAGGATCCAGTTAAAGGCATGGAAGTTGCAGGGGCCAGCTCTAAACTCTGGCCTTTGCACTGGCTCTGATTTCCACCTACAGTTTGGGCCTCTGTGGCTTTGCTTTGGGCCCATCTATTTTGGCTCAATTACATTGCTTTTGTTCACTACCCTGTGGTGTGGAAGGAGTACAGTCAGAAAGCTTGATGGAACCTTCTATTCATACTCATAGAGGACACAGTCAGGATGTGTATATAAGGTGTTCTAAAATTAACTCCCTGCAATAACCTAAACAGCAACAAAACATACCTTATTTCAGAAAGGTTATTTTAAAGCTGCAATTTTAGAAGAGGGTGTGTACAGCTAGACAAGATAGCAGATCTGTGGTCAGATGTTCCATGGATATATAAGAGGCAAAACATGTAAGTGGCTGTATGTTTCACCCACACAGAGCAAAAGTGCTCTAAGTGAGTGAAAGAAACAATGCAGATTGGGAATGGGAAAACAGAGCAGAGGCAACAAAAAGGGTTCACTTTCCTTCTCCTGGCCCCACAGCCATGATTAGAATTAGAACTTCTAGTGTCTGAATTGACCTGGATTAAAAATGGGGGAAGTCTGCCATAACTAGTTTGACCATGAGGTTAGCAAAATGGATCAAAATTACCATTGTTATCCAATTGCCTTTGTAATCTGAAACTGAAAAGCATTTGTAATATATTGTTGATTCAGATTCTTACTTCCTCCCCTCCCATTTGTTTTACGTATTTCAGTTCATTTGTGTGAGGGCTGTTACAACAGTAGAAATGGAAACTGATTCACATGTCATGGCAGCAATTCCTGGGTTATGTAGCCCAGGAAGTGTGGGGATGAGTAGAGAGCACAAGCCAATTGCTTGTCATTTCCGCTTTTAATGTAACCCAGGTACACCCCATCCTTGGTTATTTAGTGATGTGCAAATGTAGAACTTGTGCTGTTCATAGGTTAGGCAATCCAGAGCTAGCTCAAGAATTACTCAGGGTTTGTTGTTAACTCCAAGTTATTTAATAAACAGTTTTTAGATTTGCACATCACTGAAGAACACAGCAGCAGGCATTCTTGGGTTGTCAAATAATGAGCACATGGGAAGCAATAGACTCGTTACTTTGCTCATCCCCAGCAATTTTTGAGAAAACAAACCAATTATCACTGTAATATGCAAATTAGATGAGTGAAACACCCAGTATATTTGGATACCTAGATCTGTCTATAGACCAATAAGGTCTTATCCCTGTAAGAAACATGAACTAGACTTAAATCGTTACATAGTAGATTGTGGGGCAGTGGAATCTGGGCATTTGGCATGCGCAAAGAATTTTAAGTTCTATGTATTGTTAAGCTACTTAAGGCCCATTCATTTCAATGGGTCTCCAGAGAATATGCCAATTGCTGTACTCGTGTTCTTTCTCAGCCTTACCTACATTACAGGATTATAAGGATGCAGGACAAAAACTATATGTTGCCCAGCACTCCTTAAAGAGATGGTAGGTTATAGATTGACTAAATATAAAATATAATTTTAAATTCTCAGACACCTTTTTGCATTCATCACTTCCATGAATGCGAGTAGAAGCTTGTGGCCACTGTCCTTGTAAGATGAGTGCCCTGGTACCTTACATAATAAAGTATTTATTTACAAACATGCAGGTTGAGTACATGGGCATCAGGCAAGTAGTATAGTTCTCAAGCAACCTTGGCCAAGCTGAGCAGAAACCTCTTGGCCAACCAGCTAGCAACCCATTTTTATGGAGATCCAAACTGTATGTATTCAGATAGCATAGTTACTATGGGCTATGAAACAAATGTGAGGAGACTGAAATTACCACCCACCATCAATGATAATTAATGAGAACCTTATTAACCTTATCAGGCACTAGCCCTACAAAAAGCTTTAGAAAGAAAGGACAACTTGCTTAACCAACAGTATTTGGTTAGTAATGGTAATGCAACAGTATTTTCGAGCAGTAGTGTAAGCACTGTAAGAATAGTGAGTCTTATCAAAATGTTTTCTTGGGTTGCTTGATGGACTTGAATTGAAATCCCTGTTCAACCACATCACTCAGCATGTGATCATGGGCAGTCACCAGCCCTAATGTTAGGCAGAGTGAAATGACTTCTTCAGGCAACAGATGTGGGAACGGATAGTGATAAAAAGTGCCAGAGGACAGAGCTGTATGGGTCACACTTCATTTGCTTTGCAATCCCCCCACTACCCCACAGCTGTCAGTGCTGTAAAGGATGAGGTCCCACTGAAAGTGTTGGAGGAGGAGTCAGCTGCCAGTATGGCCTGTTTCTGTGCATGATATGGGGAGGAAGGCAGTAAAATGTCTTGGGCTGACCCTGGGAGTCATGCTTTCTCAGCCTATCCTACCTCACCGGGCTGCTCCAAGGATAAAAGAGACAGAGGAACCATGAGAACTGTCCCAAAATACCTGAAGGAAAGACAGAATGTAAGAATAGATAATAACTGTAATTTCTTTCACTTCTCGCTGAGGCAGAGCTTTGAGTATGAAGTGTTGGCAGTCCTGAGGTCAGAATTTGTTTGTCCAGGCCTGGGGGCTAGAAGCTTCTGTCTCACATCACTAGGCTGTCATGGAGTCATGAAATATGTTTCATGAACAGTGTTCCATTGTCACAAGCTGGCCATTATTTACCAGCTTGTATCTTTGATTGGCTGGAAGACCTAGATATGTCCTTGGTCAGCCAAGAAGGTTTGGACTTTCGGTGTTTTGACCTAAGATTCTCTGTGACTCAGCATCACCCCTGCTACTCAGCCGGTTCCAGCTGCCTCAACCCTGTCTGTTCCTTTTGTTCATCTCTTCTGTTTGTGTCTGGACATGGTTTACCTTCTGGAAACTGACCTCTGCTTGGCCATGTTATAATTGCTTTAGGAATGATAATTAAATGGACCTCTCAGGCATTACTCAGACCCTTGCCTCAGACTCATCATGCCTGAATGCCTTCTCAATCAACAGACAAGTTTCTGGCAAGGCACTACAATCTGACCCAGTCCTATATAAATAAGAGGAAAATGCTTTGCTTTGCTGCCACATGAGAAGTGAAAGCTAGTCATTACTGACATGAAAACTTTCTGTTTGTATGGTTCTTACCATACAATGGCAAATTTTAATCAGTGGCTGTTTTCCACTCGGAGGTCTGTCCTGTCCAGATACCTTATTCCACAATGGATATAGGTCTGTTGAGAAAATATTAGTTGGCGGGATATGGGCCATTGGGCCTTGTGTTGTTTATTTGTCTTGGGCTGATGCCCCTGAAGGTACTTCTTTTTGTAACTTTCATTGTTTTCCTTACAGCCATCCATAACACACCCTATTCCTGCTTGCAGTACACTTAAGCCATTACTCAGTTGTTAGTCATAACTCTTCTATAGAAATTATCAGGTTGAGCTAGATACTATATTTGCCATGGGATCCACATAGGGGCTAGGTTCACATGACATGGCTGAAAACCCTGTACTATTTCCATGGTGTGTGGACTTTTGCCCAAACCTGCTGGTTAGACAATCATGTAGTTGCCCTGGCAGTACAGCTTCCATGCTCCCTGTTCTATCCTGGCCCCACCACACATCCCAGCTACCCCTGCAAGGGAAATCCCCATCCTCTCTGTATTCTTGCCTATGGACCTCAGCAACCTCCTCCTGATGGGTCCATTGTGATCCTGAGGCAGGCAGGTGGCAGGTTGCTCCTCTCTCTTTCCAAGTGTACCTGCATGTCTGCAATGCTTCTCAGCCACCACAGAGATTTTTAGTAAATGAAAAGAAACAGTTCTTCCACAATCCCCGCTTTTCTCTCAGAATATTTTCACACTGTCTCATTTCCAAAAGTAAACAGGCAGATAGACACATCACTCAACCAATAGGAATAAAGCAAGCAATGACACATCTTTTGCTAGGGTGCTAAGGGCAGTAGAGATTGAAGGCTAGAAGCAGCCACTTCTGCAGCTGCTCTTGCCAGGGGACTCTGGTGTTTCCATACAAAGAATGATAAACTGGTGATCCTGCACCCAGGTGATTGGAGAAGCCTCATTGAACCATGGAAACCTTAGAACAGATTGCTGATTCTCTCTGTGGTTTCACAAAACTAATCCTACCATGCAGGAACTCTGGAACTGGATGACACAAAAGACCCATAACAGTGAGATTTCACAATGGCATCTCATGTCATGTGAAACCACTCAGGGAAATTTGTTGTCCTTAGTGACAGCTATTGATTACTAGGGTCACAGAAGCCCAGTATGGCTTGGATTCAAAGATCCAAGAATAGGCATTGTTGGATACCTAAGGGCCCACATGCCAGCAAGGACTCATTGAGAAGAGCCCCTTTGTAACCTGCCTGCCGTTTGCCGTGACCTAGACTGCAAGAGTGGTGGTGGTAAGGAGAAACAGCCAATGTCTCTGCCTAGATGCTCATTGGCTCCCTGCCTTTCCGGTGGGATCAATAATGGAAAACAGGTCAAGAAGCAAGAATAGCTGGTGCTGACAATGGCACTGAAAAGCTTGCTGCAGCAGGCAGGTCATGGGAATGTCTTGCCCCAGAGTCCTCAATAACCTGGAGCCAACACTGGATCCCATTGCAGTTGGTGGTTACCGATTTATTTTGATCCATGGACAGTCGTTTGTTCTCTACTAAACAGTAGTTTTAATAGTGAAGGGACCCTTAATCCAGGTTTGTGCAGAGTGCAACCAAAAAGGAAGAAACCAGCAACACACATGCACAAGTGGGAGTGCCTTTTGCTTGCTCAGAAGGATTTTTGGATCCAGGCCTGTGTAATTAGCTCTCACTTACATACTGAGATGAACCTTTTATAGACAGGAGAGTGTGAATTCATCCAGGAGGTTTGGAACTGCATGGCAAATCTACTGTGTAACCCAGGGCTTCGCATACAGCAAGAAATAGCTATTGTGGAAGCTGTGTAAGATCTGTTTGAGATTTGAGATGAATACTTGATTCAAATGATCAAAAACTTGTTCCCATATCTTGCTAGCTGATCACAGCACCGAAGGCAGACAATACAATGTATGTGCAACAGAGAGACGAATATCTGGAGAGCTTTTGCAAAATGGCAACTAGAAAAATTTCAGTCATCACCATCTTTGGCACCACAAACAACAGCCGCATGAAGATTGACCACTTCCAACTAGGTTGGTTTTTAATTTTTTTTAAAGAAACTTCTTTTCTTTCTTTTAGGGCAAATGAACCAGGTAACTAAGGGTAAAAACATTTGAAAGAATACTTTTTCTGTGGTTTTCTGCCCATTCTTTGTAACTGCATGGCTGACTCTGGTAGCCCTCCACTTTACCAAGATACCACATTCAAATCCAGAGGTGTCTCTGTGCTAGTTGATCAGTCCAATGAAACAGTAGAAAATAGATAAGTGCAGCTAGGTTACTGCAAGGGTCAAAAGGTGATTTGTCTCTCAGCTGCAATCATCTGTACAAAGATCATTATGTAACTGTAATGTTCTTACATGATAATGATGTAAAAGGGGATGGTGCCTTTAGCCACATCCCCAGTGATGCTCAGCTCCTTCTGGCCTTGCCCTCCCTACTGACGTGTTAGCATGGAGATTTGAGTGGAGAGTTTCATAAATAGACCTCTACATCCATAGACCCTAGATCTTGGAACCTTGCATGAATGGCACCTGTGTGATTATTTTTACCCACTCATTCATGAAGGAGGCGTCTGTGATTATACGTAAATGATTAGTGTTCACAGAGCAAGTCCACAGTATTTCTATACCCCAGACAAAACAGGAAATGATATATTGTGTCCCCCACCAAGTTTGGTATCTCAGGCAAGGCATGTTATTTTGATCGGAGGCTGGAAATCCCATTTCCCTAGAAGAAGGTCTCCCATTTCTTTGGAAGAAAAATAGAATATAATAATAATCAAACAATAATTTGCTGCCCTTTCATGACAGCACAAATCTACTGACTGACTTGTCCACATCACTCTGCTCATGGAAGGGTTGATCTCACATGTTCAGATTATTTTACAGACTAGGCAGTTAGCAGTCCCACAGTCCTCCAAAAGCATAGTTTCAGGGGGCAGCAGGGCAGAAAAAGGAATCAGCCAAAAACAAAATGTGTCCCTTTCCCGTCATGCAATTTTACTTCTCAGTGACTTCTACTTTTCATATGACTATGTCTGGTTCTAAACCAATAATAAACAGTGGATGTCATAACAGCTTCAAGGTCCTCTCCGGTGAGACTTAAATACTGATCTTGTTAAAACTACAACCTCATTTATCTGAATAGTTCAGAATTCTTCAGATATGACAAGGATTTGCATGCTTTAAATTGTGCTATTTACATTGAATTACATGATACAATGGCACAGTTTATGTCCTTAGATATGAAGCACAAATGAATACTTTTAGAGAACATTCATCTAGCTTGATTAAACACAGAGATACTGCCTTTCTTCATTAGAAAAATGTCCACACAAACATTTTCTAATAGTTCCTTACATTTGGTTTGGGCTTCTTTATGGATTTTCCTTCTTACAAAAGGGAATTCATTTTTAAGTACTGTGAGTGACTAATGAGGACTGCTCATTAGGATAAATAGTTTCTTGAGATTCCATTCAGGGGCAAGAACTTCATGTGTGTCTAAGTGAAAACAAACACACATACATGGCCCCAATTAATTTAAAGCTTGGATGTACCAACTCTAATTAGGAAACAGTGGGAGCTTTAAATACATCTGGGAATTTAGCATGCATACACACATATCATATACACTAAACCTGACAGTAATCTCTCTCCAATTTTCTCAAAAGTTGTGTTTTTTTGTTTCTGAACTGGGCTTCTTGGTTTTAGCTTGCATAGAATCCTTGCAAAAGTGATTTGAATTGCCTAGCTTTTTATAGTTTTACAGTTGTAAAAGCTATTAAAATTATTCTAAATTCAGAAACCCACCCCCTAAGGCTGTGAAAAAGATACACCATTGGATTGCACACCCTTGATTAATGTCTAAATAGTGACTTAAGGTGTAATCTTATGGTCCCCAGGAAGCCTTAGAATATTGCAGGACTCCCTCACTATAGGTGGCATCTGAGGAAGTCTGCCCTGGATGGCAGTGGACTTTACCACTACAGCTGTCTGCTTGTGGTAATGGCAAAAAGGAACATGGCTTGGATCCCAGAAAGGGGTGGGTGGATAGGAAACGACACCAGCCTCGGTGCAGGTTCTTTTCCTATCAGAACCAAGAAGAGAGAAAATTTAACAGAAATGAGCAAGAAGGATAAAAAAGGTAAAAAGCCAAGCTGCCCCCACCCTGTTACTGGCATGAGGCTAGCTAGAATTAGGAAGTGGTGGTTCTTCTGCTACAGACTCTCCCCCAACTCTGATATTATTTGCGCAGCCTGGGTCAAATAATCTATTTCTGTCTTGATGCCACCAGAGATCCCATTGGCCTCTCATCTGTTATATCCACTTCAGTTTTTCCTGATAGTAGCTTACTACAATTAATGCTCCAATTCTTGCTTGTGGAGTTGTCATATGTGTTGCACAGGTGACAATCAGTGTGATAATCTTGGTAGAACAGAAGACTGGAGGACACTTTTTGCATTTCCATCTCCTCCCCGTCATTCAAAGAAGTTGATTGAGGTTTGCTCAGGACTTAGCCCATTTTGTTTCTTCTAAGACAACGAGAAGCCAATGAAGGTGGTGGAGGATGCAGACCTTGTGGACCAACAACTCATCAGTGAACTGAGGAAAGAATACGGGATGACATACAATGATTTCTTCATGGTGCTGACAGACTTGGATATGCGAGCCAAGGTAGGAAGAAGCAATCAGCACAATTACTGGAATAATGAGCTGCACTGAAGTGGGGAGGCCAGAAAAGAGGGATAGCTGTGTGAGTAAAGCTCATTTCATGACAGTGAGGAGCAAAAAATCGTGCTAGCACTTGGACAAGCAAATGGGTTGGGAACCAAGTGACCATGATAAGGAATGAGAAACTTCAGTGGATAGCATAGTCACAGGTCATAGCACCGAGATATCCTGAATGGTCCTATAAATCAGTCTTCTCCAACTTGGAGGCTCTAGATGTTTTGGACTGTTGTGCTCAGGATTCCTAACCACTAGCTGTGTCTACTCAGAACTGAGATCTAAAACAACTAGAGGACCCCAAAGTGGAGAAGGTTACTATGAAGTGTCCTCTTTGGCCACATGAGCATGGCTTTATTTATTTCTGATGTTTATATTCCAACTTTCTCCTATCACGGAAATTAAGGTGACAAGCACGGAATTCCTGTATGTTCTCCTATTCAGACACTGTCCAGGCCTAATCCTGCTTAGTTTTAGCCACAACCTTTGCAACATACACCTCTAGTCCATACTCTGGGACCGCTCAGTTTTATTCTGTCAATATATACAGTACGTGGCTTCACTATTAATATGCAGTCAGAATGCAGATGCCAAGCAATTTGTTTGCAGTGAAACTCCTTCTCAACACTTCCTTTTACAGCAATACTATGAAGTGCCCATAGCAATGAAGTCTGTGTTCGATTTGATTGATACCTTCCAATCACGTATCAAAGATATGGAAAAGCAGAAACGTGAAGGCATTGTCTGCAAGGATGACAAGAAACAATCCCTGGAAAACTTTTTGTCTAGGTATTTCCCAAAGCTCTTAAGCTATGCTAGAGCACTTCTTAATAATGTAAAGTGGTTTAAAAATTAGCACTTGTTTTGAGTACCTGTTTCCATTGGCTGATTATTCTGGTCAAATGTTTGCAGCATTTTCAGCAGTTCATTCCTAAAAAAGAGAATTTGCCCCTTAATCCCAAATATGTGCAAGCCAGGACTTAGAAAAAGGTTTGCGTACACTTCAAGGTTGTGTGATGCGGTTTGTTCCTTTGCAAGAATCCTGAGGTCTGCAATAGGCAGCCAAGTGCAAAAAGGGTGTTCAGATGCTTAGACATACAATTAAAATTAAGGAACAGCATGCCTCTGAGCACATGCTTGACCCAAGAATGTTTGATTTTGTTAAAACCAAGTTTAAAAGTTCTTCACCCAAAAATCCACTCTTGGTTTTCTCTCCTTGCAATCTAAATTTAGGGTGAAAAGGCAATCCAAACATTTGACTTAGACATAGTGAGGTGTCTGTATGCACCGCAGATGAGATCAAAGAAAGTGTCCTTTGACCAGTGGTCCTTAAACATAGTGGCAACCTTCTCTGGGGAGGCAGAGGATGTAGAGGCAGCAATACAGAATGCCTCGGACAGCTTCACTAGCCGGTGCCTTGCAATGTGTTGGAATACACCTCCCAACATTTCCTAACAATGTGGTCATTGGAAGTCTATTCTAGAAGTTCAGGAAGTCTATTCTAGAAGCAGGTACACATTTTCTGGGAGGAAAAAAAAAAACAAAACACCCGGAGGCAAGTAGAGTGTAGGTCCCTGCGCTAGCGAAGACATTGTTGGACTGAGTGTCTGCTAATGGGGGAAACTTGTTCACATACATCAGATTTGTGCTCCACAAGTTGTCCCATTATTTAAATCTGATTTGTCCAATTATTCAAACTTGACTTGATAAGAGCAGTTGCTCCATTCTACTGGGATTCCTCAGCTTGTGGCATGAAGAGGAATCAGTTCTATCTTGTTGTGTTCGTCTAATGGCAATTTTAAATAAGGAAGGTAGACGGATTTTTTTCAGTTTGCATTTTAATGCACATTCCTAGTTTCTGAACCAATATGCAAATCAAAACATGGTTATGGTTAGATATTCACACTTTTCTGAATTTTGCAGTGTTATCTCTTCAGTAAGAACTGTGTATGCACATGAGTATATTAGGGTAAAGTTTGCACACTGGTGCATATATTTGGGGATGCATATATTTGTGAAATAAAATAACAAAATTCTTTACATTAGGCAAAATGGAGTACAGGAATGCACATATTAGGAGAAATGTGCACAAATTTTCATGTAAACTTGAATTTTCAAGGAACTAACAAATGATGCAGAAGAAGGATGATAAAATTCAAAGCTGGAAAAAAAGATGAGGAACTGACATTGACAGAAGTGTTCCTCCTGAGTCTTAGAAAGACCTATGACTGAGAGACAAATGTCTGATCTATACAACAATGGGTCTGTCTTTCTATAAAGGGGGAACCACATAATATTGTTTGCCTCTACTAGTAATCCCTAATAGTTTAAATAAAACACAGAATGAGGAAAAGAAATTGAATGTCTAAATGGAAATTCCTCAAAATGTAATTTAATAATAATGGTATCCCTCCACTGCCAAATCAGCATCAGTGGAAACAAAGGCCTCCCTGCTCTTCCAGTATTGGCAGTTCTACTTTGTTTTCCATAATTACCTCTCCCCTTGAATGAATGAAACAGCGGGGAGCAGCAGTGTATCTTAGTCACTGCTTTGAGTGCAAACCATTTAAAATAATGATGCTGATTGTTCATCGCTTGTATGATAGCTTCATAGCTTTCCTTAGCTCCAGCAAAGGGAACAGTGTTAAGAACTCTCTGGGCAGGCAACTAAACTGTCTCCATTTAGCCAAAACTAGATCAACCCTTTCCTTGGACGTCAACTATCAATGCTTTCATTTTAAGACAAAGTAATTAATAAATATTATGTTAGATGAGGCAGAAAAAGAGGGATGAGAAGGTCCATCCCTTACCAACTCCACAGTGCATCATTCTAAGCGTGCCCTGTCCCAAAGTGGAGAAGCAGGTCTAATCTCACCTCCTCAAACTACATTATGGGAACCTTTGCTTGGACTGCAACTTCCATCAGACCCACCACCATGGCCAATGCTCAGGAGTTATCAGAATGGAAGACCAAGAACATCTGATGGCCCAAATGTCAGTGGAGTGGCATAGCCACTACAGGCTACAGTCAGAACTTCTAAGGAGCTATCCATCATGCTGAACCAATCTATAGGCTAGGACTAAGCACCATGGATAGCTCCTTATAAGTCAGACTAAAGCCCTGACTAGTATTGAAATGACCAGCTTTTACTGCCCACAAATTTCCCTGTCTCTGTTCTATAGGATGTTAAAAACTGGTAGACAGATGCCTGTCATTTTATTAGTCTGTGTGTTCTGAGAGGTCTTGTCTGTTATAATCAACGGGGTGCTGGTTGGTGAAAGCCAAGCCACTCTCTTTCAAGAATGGGAAGCAGGCTTTGACCCAACTGCGGTCTTGTCCCCAAGTGCAGTTTTTTAAACAACTTTTTCCCATGAAAATGCTTTGGCAGCCAGTCTTATTTAAAAAAAAAGTGGGGGATGCTATAGCACCTGTTCCCTGTCCTTGGGAACCCTAGCATTAAGTTCAAGTCTGCTGCATAGTCCCTGTACATCAGCCTCGTAAAGAAGCCCACAAAAGTTAACAAGCCTGCAGGTTGTTTTTTTAATTGAATAGCCTGATAAGAGACTAATAGTCTGTATGTCCATGTTGGCAGTGGAGCAGAGAAGAAACTACCTCCTAAGTGGTCAGCATGACACTGAAGAAAATAGCCTTTTCTTGGGCTAGTAAAAACAGCTTTCTTTTCCTACACAGGCTGGCAGAGAAAGGGAAACAGCTGAGGGACATGTTTTCTCCATGACCAATATGGAAACCAAGCAGCTTGGCAGAAGGGGGATCAAGATATCTGTTCCTTCTCCACCAATCTGCTGAGTTGCCTATGTGGACTTCCATACACTTACCTTCTTGGAAGCCTTTGTTGGCTCTGGCTATAGGGCAAATTGTTAAACATAAAGCTGTTTTACACATTTAATGGTCATCCTGCCTTGAAATTATTGGAGTTGTAGGCCAACACATCTCAACTGCAGCAGGTTGGAGAAGGCGGCATTAGTAGTTACAGCACTCTGCCTACTTGAATACTAAAGGGATGTAACAAGGAGCTAGGCAGGGGTATGGTATGGTAAAAATGTATTGCAGCAATTCTTACAATAATTATTTAAGATGTAAAAGAAAACAGTATTTCTGATTATTGCCAAATGGTTTGAGTACATTAAGTGGGAGCTCAGGTTTGGCTAAGCAGTTTGTCATTTGTTTAATTCAGCCTGTTCCCAAATGGATGCATAGCTTAATAAAACAAGAGTAGGTAACTTAAGAGGTCCTAAAATCAACCCTCTGTGCTACATGCTCAAGGCCTGGCTAAGACTCACTTTTTGAAAAACTAATACATGTAGCTGAGCTGCACCTATTGAGGCAAGGCTGGTATTGGGCATCAGCATTAAGGCCTCCACTTCTGAATCATACAAAGTAAACAAAAGAAGGTGTTTATTTGCATAATAGTTGCATAGGCTTTTATATGTAAATTGACACACAAACACACACACACACACACACACAAATAGATATACTTGTTCTAATTTAAATAGAAATACCACACATCTAATTTAAATAGAAATACCATACATACTTTGGCCACCTAATGAGAAGGAAGGACTCCCTGGAGAAGAGCCTAATGCTGGGAACAACAGATGGCAAAAGAAGAGGGGACGACAGAGAATGAGGTGGCTAGATGGAGTCACTGAAGCAGTCAGTGTGAGCTTAAGTGGACTCCAGGGGATGGTGGAGGACAGGAAGGCCTGGGGGAATGTTGTCCATGGGGTCGCGATGGGTTGGACACGACTTTGTGACTAACAACAACAACCAAACATCTCAACAGTGCAGAAGAATGTGACCAGGTGACTGGTGTGTCTTGCTCAGTTTGCTGCACAGGTGCTGTTGATGGACAGCTTTAAGGCACAGCTTCTTCTAATCGTTCTTTATTGTAATACCAGGCTTGTGCGTGGCATCTGTTCAAACACAGGGTGCCAGAGGACTGTTCTGTATGGGAAACTCCCTTCAAATAGAAGAATTTCCTCTGAATAAAGGGACGCATTCCTCAGTTGGGGCACTAGTGGCCACCCCTACCACTTCCTGGCCTTCTGTTGCTCCTCCTTGTTTGCCTGCGCTCTTTGAGGGAGAAAGCACTGAAGGGAAGGGCAGAAAGCAGCAGCTGGCACTTTTGGTGGCTGTGCAGGTATGGTCCAGAAGAAGAGGACAAGCAAGTGGGCAAGAGAACTCACAATTGAGTATCTTAGGGACAAGTATCTTACCGAAGGATCCTATTACGGCTGGAGCCTACTGAAGAGTCCTATCAAAGCTGGAGCTATCACTACCTTGCAGTTTTCCCTGTCAGACAAAGAAGGCTGGAAGAGACTGAAGACGCACAGGGAAGCGGAGGTCACTTTTGTGCTCTGTTTATCTCCATTTGATTCTATGAGATATGACAGGATGGAGGAAAATTAGCTGTTAAGCAGAAAGATAAGCAGAGAGGCACTGAAGCTTCCCTTCCCGCTTTCAGGAAGAAATAAAAAATTCAGGAGAGCTGACATGAACAGGAGAGCAGGGGCACTGTCTGTAAGACAAAAACATCTGTAGCCATTTAAGAGATCATTTCCTGTTACAAAAGCACCCATGTAGCTCGGTGCACATTTCTCTAAACCAAGTTAGTTTAGATTATTCTATGGGAATAGGAATTTGTTTTGAAAGTATAAAATAACCTTTCATTTTGGCTTTCCAATCTCATTTGTTCAAATGTGTCCCCACCTACACACTTCCCTGAATAATGCAAAGAGAAAGTGATCTCAAAGGGAAGGAGAAAAGGCTCAAATGGAGAAAAAAAATCATTCGCATTAGTTCTGCCTGTCTTGAGAAATCTGGACTTTTTGCAGCAAAACAGGAAAACTTGAAAACTAAAATAGTATTTTTAAAAGGATTTGAGAACTATTGCTTCCTTACACACAACCTTCCCACAACCTGCCTTAACCAATGAACTTAACTCTCATTTCCTTTAACACCATCAGTATTAAACTCAGTTTAAAATGTTTTTACTTTATTTTTAGTGGACTGGGGATTTGACAAAACATTTAGCACAGGTCTGAGCACTGTTGTAGCAGCGGCATATCATAAAACTCAGAAGATTAGCAAGACTCAAAACAAATCTTGGACTTGGATCATTTTATAACATGTCTAAAGAAGCCAAATGTTTCCAGGCCACAGTTGTTGAACTATACTACTTCTTCAGCTCTATCCAATGCTGGGTGACTTTGCTTACTCATTGGACATTTGTGCTTACTTAAAGCAAATAAACTCCATTCAGAATGTACCTAGCTGGTCCTCAAGAAGTAGTTGTAGTAAAGTAGTCTTTAAGTTTCTGTGGGAAGCAATTTAGGGAAAACCTCTAGACCACTTTGCTACCCATAATCCTCAATCTTTTGCCTGGTTTTTCATATACCTCGAAGTAAGCTATGGAAAAGGATAAAGGAGTCTGGATACAAACATTGGAACAGTGCTACATATAACATCTGTTATGACAGCTTCTCAGAACAGCTGCAGCAAACATCTGGCATTTTCTTCTTTCATTGGCTTTCATTGTTTCATCTTCTCATATGATGCTTAATGTATACGATATAACCTAACAGCAGAGTGGCCAGGTTTCTTACTTTACAGGGAACAATCCTTTGTTTTGGAGCTCTGACAGAGGAATAGTCATATATTTGATTTGATGGACTGCCCAGTCCCAGCCTAGTTTCGACAAAGAATCATAAGGAAGGAGAGCCAGCAGGGTCCTTGAAATTGCCTACCAACAGGTAAAATCTGGACAGCAAACAATGCACAGGTCTCCTGTTCAGTCTTCTCAGCTACACTGGCATTTTATTTCGGTTTAAATTAGTTATGGTTTTGAAATGTACACCTGTACATATAAGTATGCTTATGCAAATATTATGCAGAACTGGTGTTCTTCATTTTGGAAAACTATCAGAAGCCACTTTAGTCAGAAGACTATCCTGACTGAAAGATGGGTATTGCCTTCTGCTTTTTCTTAGCACATATTCTTTTTTTTCCACCAGATTCCGATGGAGGAGGCGGCTGCTAGTGATATCAGCTCCCAATGATGAAGACTGGGCATATTCACAGCAGCTTGCAGCCCTTACAGGACAAGCTTGCAATTTTGGTATGAAATAAACCACCATTCCATTGTTTTGTAGCCACCTGCTCTTCTTGTAGAGGACAAGCAAAAGTTCCTGTGCATTCACATGAATCAAGCTTATGGGCCAGGCTTAGTGCATCTAACTATCCACATCCACATGCATTATTTTACTAATTCAAAAGCAAACCCTTTAACCTCTAAGGAGAAAGGCTGAGGACCACTTTATCTAGGACAGCTTGCAAGTGTAGACAGCAAGAAACAGATTCTATGCTCTCCATTGAAGGCAGCTGGGGCAATTTTCTTTTGCCAAGGGCAAAACTCAGTTTCAGTCTCAGGAGCCACATGCCAGTGGTGGGTGGAGCAGAAGGTAAAGGGGTGAGGCCAACTGAAGCTCGCTTGAATTGACAGACTTGTGTGGGTGCAGTCCTATGCACAAATAGATGTAAAAGGTGTGACAGCTCCCAGCATTCCCAAGCCACCACAGCTGGCTGGCAAATGCTTGGAGTTATAGGTCTTTTCCTCTTTCAGCATGAATGGGATTGCAATCTAAGTGCCTTATATTTGACTCCTGGGAAATAATTATTTCCATGTTTAGTATTAGTGTTGGAATTATGAAGGTTAAGCGAAAAGGTAAGAGAACCGTAACAAAATCTAGAAACTCCCCAATTTTCCCCCAAAGGAAGAGCATAATTAAGCCATGGAATTCACTTCCACATGATGTAGCCTGGCCAAACAATTTGGACAGCTTTAGAAAGGGGTTGGACAAATCGTTGGAGAAGACTGTCAATGGCTACTAGTCCTGATAGTTATATGGTACCTCTGCTATGATATCAGAGGCGGTATGCTATCATCTGTGCATTTGTTGCTGGGGAACGTGAGCAGGAGGGTACAATTTCATCTTGCTTTTGGCTTTCCCATGGGCAGCTTGTTGGCTACTGCATGAACAGAATGCTCGGCTACATGGACCATGGCCAGATCCAGCATAGCTCTTCTTATGATCTTAATGTGTTCCAGCACTATGCTTTGATGATAAGTAGATCTGTTAATTTCTTTAAAATGCATATCAACTCTATATTGTATGCTTATATAGTTGGAAGGTCATTTTTAACATGTATTATCATTTGCATTACAGCAATGCTTGCCTTTCATTTAATGGAAAAAGCCTGCCATAACTCAGTGTTTGACTTTATTCTTCTTTTACAGGTCTGCGTCATATTACTGTCCTCAAGCTGCTAGGGCTGGGAGAGGAGATAGGTGGAGTACTGGAACTATACCCAATCAATGGTGAGAAATTCTTTCTGGGTTTCAGCTGCAAATCATGGAACTCATCTGTCTCTTTCTTGCTGAGCGGTATTTCTGCACAGTGGATCAATATTCTTTAAGTAGACCAAATATATCAGTTGTAAATTTATATCTGAAATAATGGTTAGCAATGATTTTTGAGGTAAGCTAGAACTGAGCCCATAGAAGAAAATTGGTAGCCATACGTGAGGCCACAGCACATCATATCCCAGACACTTCATGGTATATGGAACAAGTGGTATTGAGTAGTTAGATTTGAGTTATTAAAGGTATAATGTTGTGACAATTTAGACAGAAAGAATCCTATGAGTCCCAGCATTCCCCATGCGAGCTGCAGAATGCTGAGAATTGCAGGACTATATTTCTGCCTAAACCTGGACAGGATTAGACCCCTAGTGATGGTCTACCCCAGAACATCCCATAATCCTACTTAATGGACAAGCATAAGTATCAAAAATATGGCCCTACTGCAGCTCTTTAAACTTACTTTGGAATGTTCTATATTTAGTATCATCCTCTCTCTTGACACTCCTTCATTTATCTAACATGATTAACAGCATAATCCTGTATAAATTTGGACATAAGTCCCATAGAGTTTGATGGAACATTCCTAGGTAACTATGCACTACCACAGTATTTCCCAACCTGGCATTTTCCAAATGTGTTGGACGAAAACTTCTGTCATCTCCAGCCAACATGGCCAGGGAGGAGTAATTCAACCCATATGGAGGACAGCAGGTTGGAAAAGACTATACTACCAGATCGTAGACTAAGTTGCCTTAGAAAATCTCCAGAAATCAGAAGAATAAATAACAAAAAGGCTTAATCAGCTATGTCTCTGGAGGGCATTGATAATCCAGCTGTGATTTTAAATTAAAAAATGACAACTGGATTTAAAAAAATGTAAAAATGCTCCTGCTGCAATATTTCCCCTTATATACAAGTAGAAAATAACCCAGAGTAATATAAGTAGTAAAAGTGGGGAAATGAGCTCTTTTTTACAACTCATAAAAAAGTATTTGGAAAAATTCAATGAGGTGTACATAATTCAACAGAACAAAGAGAGCTGAATGATAAACACATGAACAAGAGAAAAGAGAAAGGAAGTATTTCTTATAGATGCCATTCCTATAGAAGTATTCCTTGGATATCCAAGTATTCCATTCCTATGGATATCCAAGAATAGGAACTCAGGAGTATCTGATTCAAAGGTGTATTGGAAAGGCTATACTGTTCTTACTTACCGTAAAGTTTCACACTTAAAGTTCATTTGGGGAGGTGACTGTGCTACAGAACTACACTAAGTTAAAAGTACTTTTGGAGCAGAACAGCTTGCAAGTTTATAATAGAGTATGCTATTGCAAATATGTAGAGTCCCTGATCTATGGGGTGGCATACAAAGACAATAAATGATAAATAATCAGATGCTGATATTATTCATAATTCTCACTTTCTCTAGGGAGCTCCAGTGTGGACAGAGAAGAGCTACCTGCTCATCTGGTGAAAGACATCCGTAATTATTTCCAGATCAGCCCTGAATATTTCTCCATGCTCTTGGTTGGGAAAGATGGGAACGTCAAATCTTGGTACCCTTCCCCAATGTGGTCCATGGTGATCGTATATGATTTGATTGACTCAATGCAACTTCGACGACAAGAGATGGCCATTCAGCAGTCTCTTGGCATGCGATGCCCAGAAGATGAATATGCAGGGTATGGATACCATGGTTATCACCAAGGGTATCAGGATGGTTACCAAGATGATTACCGTCACCATGAAAGTTATCACCATGGATACCCCTATTGAAATTAGCAACTTAACCTGTGCCTTCACTCAGCTTACATCTTAATAACCATTCAGGCCACAACAGGCCAGACTTGGAAACCTTCTTTATGGCCATATGAACATATTCCTTCCTGTGTTCATTCAAGTATTGGACGTTGGCCTTCTTTATACATGAAGTGAAATAGAGCAAGCTAGTATCAATGAAGCCTTCTGGAATAAAAGACTCCTTTATATTTCAGAACCCCTTTAATCTGAGGGTATGTATGTACAGGACACCCTTTCCCCACTCCAGCAATGAACAGTGTACTGTAGACAGGCTAGAAGCAGTACAATAGACACTAACATGCATATAAGTGCTTTTTCCTCCACCCTAAGGGGAAAATATTTATTGGAAAGTTGTGAATTTTCTTTTCTTTTTTGCTGAAGAAAAATGTTGTATCATATTAGAAAATGTATCTCTCAAAAAGTAGCTTTTGAGGAAGGAATACAGAAGAGATCCTTTCAGAAAAATCAGTACAAACAGATTATTTCAAAAACTTAATCATCCAAAATGATCTGCTTAATATGGCAGAATGATTATAATGCATAAATGGCCAATAAGCAAAACCTACATGGCTAAAAAATTAAACAATGCAATGGAAGAGTCTCAGTGCAACCACATGGCTACTTTAGCACTAGTTATTATTTTTTCTCTCTGTGGAAGCATGAAGACTTTCAGTTCAGGAATGGACCGATGGAACAGTGTAGCAGGGGCAAACAACACTTCCTGAGGCGGCAGAATCTCATCCTGCGATTCACCTTCCTGCTTTGGTTAGGAGAATTAGTGCTTCCTCAGAGCTCTTTATGGAAGCTGTGAAAGGCCCACAATAAATTAGCAAAAAGAAAGAAAGAAAAAACAGCCAAAGTTCTCTTTGTTTTGGTTTTAAGCTTAATCTCAGCTACATTACCAGGTCTGTCTCTTATACTAGAAGAGATTCCTTTTATAAATGTCTCCTGAGGACTATCTTGTTAGCTTGTTAAAAAATTTTTAGTAAGATACTCTTATTATGGAAAGTCTGGTATCTGGAGGGTGAGGCAAATTGTGGTCCTCCAGGTGTTTAGCCTACAACTGCCACCAGTCCTGGCTGGCACAGCCAATGGTAAGAAATGAGAGAGGAGCAGGAGTATGTCCATAGCGGAATTGTAGAGTTCTTGTTTGGCACGCATAAAGTCCCAGGTTCAATCCCGGGCTTGCATCTCCAGTGAAAAGGATTTGAGACAGCAACTGATGGGAAAACCCTTTGCTGGACTTCCTGGAAAGCCACTGATAGTCTGGATGGACAGTACTTGTCCAAATGGATAAGTACTCTGCCCTTTGTGAGAGCACACTGAATGTTCCTGTAACTATTCTGCATGCAAAATAGTTATATCATTTATTCTATAGATCAGGGGTTGAGAAATACTTTCAGCCCAAGGACCAACTTCATTTATGGAGGGAGAATCTCTGAAAGGCTGTGTTCCAGTGGCTGAGGGCAGGGCTCATTAATCCTCAACAACTATACATTTTAATTTAAAGGTCTTTCTGCCAATTCAACCTTTCAAAATGGGGAAAAAGACTGCACAAGAGGCAGGAAATCACAAAGGATTGGTGGCAGGAGGAAAGGGAAAAAGGACCAAGGAAAAAAGACAGGGCCTTCCAGAGATCCCCAGAAGGCTGGATCTGGACCCGAGGTTCAGACTCTCATCCCAGGAGTTTACCCTCCTTCTGCTTGTTGCTCCTACCTCTAAGGAATGAAGAATATGTGCTGTGCCCTCCAATGCTATATAAACAGCAGCAGCAAGTCCAGCAGGCCATTTGTTCATTCTGTCTGAAATGAAAGCAGTGATTTGCTGCCAGCAGCACCAAAAGAGGAAAATGATGAAGGCAGAAATGGTGTCTGATTCACACAAGTCCAAAGTTATTTGGGCTTTGCTTCAAGCAGAAAAAATGTCTTGGGCTGACCCTGGGAACAGCCTCTTTTCTGGGAAATAAGAGCATGGATCACATTATCCAGCTCCTCAGTTCTAAAGGAAAATGTGTTTCATTTCACCAGCGTTGCTAACATTTGGGAATATGCACCATTATAGCAGGATCTCCTGCAGTCACTTAGACTTCCACATTGGGGGAGAGGGGGGGTTGGTAGGTTCATCTTCAGGTGTGCTTCTATCTCCAGCCAAGTAACCAAGGGCCAGCTCTAACACATCAACAAGAAAAAAAGACCCTTGGAATCATACCTCACAGGGTACTTGGCATGTTTAATAGTTCTGCACACACCCTGCCCCTCCTTGTACTGTTCTGACATTCCTTGAACGCAACCTACTGGTGTATAAGGGTGCAGGAGCAAGAATCTTTGGAGAATTTCTATACTTGTAAGCAGGAAAGTATTCCACCCCTCCCATTCAGTGACCCATCCCTTGTTAATTTACAAACTATGTATTAGTAAGGAAAGAATGTTAAAACTTCTTCTGACCCGGTTTAGGTTATACTGGCTCTTTAACTTGAGTTGCGCTAGAAGCCTAAGGCCACTACTGCAGCCTGTCATGATCAGAACAACCACCTACTTGGCAGGAACTGAGGATTGCAGGCAACTGCTTCCCATGTCAACTGTTCTATGCAAAAAAGGGGAATGGCCCCTACTGGTTACATGCAGTTCAGAAACTGTTAGATCTGCAGATGGCCTGCATACACAGCCAGTTTCCTTCTGCAGCATTACAGTTACCAATTCTTGCCTGTGGCCATATCTGCTGTACCAAAACCAATTTGTTAGTGTTTTAGCTCAATCCACCCACACGTATTTATTGAATCCTCTAATTTTCAGTCTCAGTGAACCATCAGTAAAACACAAGGTTCAAACTTTTCATACAGCATTAGTAAATGCCAAAACAAAATGGAAAATGTGTTATTTTCAGCTGCTAAGAATGTGTGGGAGAGACCATTTTTCACATGCACAATCCACATGTCAGGGAAAAAGTATCTATGGTTTCAAAGTCTCACTAAAATTGTTCAGTGTTAACCTGCAAAATGTGTTAGGCAGATTTATATGTGTAGATGTTTTATAGGAGGAAATTCTCAGGGAATGCTTAAGTAAAGGTTTCCCTCCTTTTTGCTTCCTGAACTGAAATGTGCTATGAAACTAATGGTCTCTCGCAAATGCTTCCAAGAAACATCATGCTAGCGAGGACAATTGGCCCAAGTAAGGAGACCAAAGCAATCAAAACACACATTGCATGCAGAATTCACTAAATGTGATTAGCACTACAGTAGTAATTCCAGTTTTGACACTATGGGTGGGATTGTTGAGGGGGGTTTTGATACTACGCATTTCCATAGTTAAACAGGCTATTCTGCACTAATGAAAATAAGCATCTGGGATCTCCATTTGCAAGTAATTTCTCACTACATTCCAGAAGAGCCAAGCAAAACAAAGTTCTTTCTATCCCAAAGCCGAACTACATGTTATACTGGCACAGAGGTATTTCCTAAATATGCAGGATTAGAGGAAGGGGAGGATTGGCAGACAGGAGAATGTTTAAGCTTTCCCACAGCTCCTAATTCTCTTCAGACAGTGCGCCCCCCCCCCACTTGTTTTTCCCTGTAGCCTTCTTCCAGCATGGGGGTGGGGGAAAGTCATTCCACAAAACCTATGTATAATCAAACAGCCATGCAGATATTTGCAGGTGAGAAATGGATGCAGGAAGTATAAAGCAGCCCTCTTTTACTTACCCATGAGCTCTGCAATTGCCTCTTCCATCGTATGAGCATGAAGAAAATGTATTTGCCTTGAATTGCACGGTCTTGCCCTTACATACAACAATTATGATACAAAACAAATATACACACAACATAAACAGACCACAGATTAAACAATCCATGGGCTTTTGATGCACAAACAGAAAAGAATGGACATGTTGTGGTCACTTCTGCTTTCACTCAGAAATCCATGAGTGGTGTAAGTTTTTAAACATGTCTGAACCTGGACCACTGGATTGGTAGGGGATGAACAACCTGTGGTTTGTTGTTGAGTTGACCACTGGGTTGTTTAGTCCCTAAACAATCCAGGAGTCTGGCTTTGGATGACATGCTCAGCAACCTATGAAGGAGCTGATCATTGATCACTGAGTAAAGCATGCTGCAGGAAGCACTTGCACCTGCTCATGCATGACAGCCCATAGGTTGCTTAACCCATGAGCTACCATGCCATGTGTACTGACACACATAATATTGTAAAATATGGGGCTATGCCCTAGATGGAAACAAAGGAAGAAATCATGGTCTATTTCCTTGAGAAAGGTATCACACAGGCTTTTACCCTTCCTTTGCCCTGGGAGATTCCAGCACATCCAAGGTGTTAATAGAGGTGGTGAGCAAGAGCTTGTAAGTTGTTTGTGGAAACTGTTGAGGAATTTTGCTGTGGTTCACAAGGTTCCACTGAATGTGGAGTCCACATTCATATATTGGCATTGGCAGCATATACATCTGCAGCTCATCCCTGGTTTTTGAAAATCGGTCTTTGATTTCTGTTCTGTTTTAGCTTTGGAAAGCACTTTTAGCCATGCGCACAACAAATCCAAATTCCATTCCCTTGGTTAGTACACTGTGGTTTATTTGGCCCTGTGACATACTAGTCTGCACTGTAAAACAATTCAAACTAAGCACAAACAGGTCCCATATTTCTCTTAACCCCAGGCACTAGTAGACTGTTAGGCACAGTTCAACAAATGCACTTGAATAACAACAGAAAACCCACATTTTGTTATATAAGCAAACAATGGAATGGATTCCTTCAGAAGCCAGCAAGGAGCTAAAGCACAATTAAATGCATTGTCCACATAAACCACAGCTGATCCAAAGCTGTTCTTTCACTTGAAGCAGTACATCCTTGTTTCAAATAGCATTTCTGAAGAAACAGTTAAAGTATAAGCCAAGTTCAAAGGAATATTCCATTAAGACAGTTCCCAACATTGTAGGAGTGCAACAGATGAGCCAATATTACCCAGTGAAACTGGGACTTTCCATTCACACACAAGAATATGTGCAATTAGTAGCAGCACCTTAGTTTTGTCCCAGTACCATTTACTGGAGTGCTTGCTGCTCCAGCATGTTTGTGCATGCCAGCTCCTAATTGTTATACAAGACAGGTGCCTGACAGTACTTCTGCTCTTCTTTTTGCAAATAGGAACACTGGCAGGAAATGTATAATTGAAGGACTGAAAGCCTCACATGACAATTCAGCATTACCAGTACCGAGATTTCCACATTATACTGTGAAAAAGAGTATCAGACAAAACCCATTCATGCTATTTTCTTTCTACATTTTCTCTGGTCAAAAATTGACTGGACCTCAGTTCAGCTACACATTATTCAGCTCATCTAATCATCTTGACAGAAAGGACTGAATGCAGTGTTAGAATTTTGAGAGTAGCATCTGCACAACTGATCCTTGTGGTATTGTTTTGTCCTGCCTTCTATCTTTTAACCCCTTTGGCTGCTGCACTGCACCTTTTCACAGTTTCAGTATATATACACACAGTAAAGAGGAAAGCAAGTAAACAGTGGACAAAAGTCAAACTAAGACACTAACAGCAAAATCAGTTCAATCATGGAGAGGCACCAAAATTTGCTATTTTCAAGTGGCAAACTAAGGAGGCAATATGCTTTGTGAAGGCTCTTTGTTAAGGAATTTGCAGGGAACACAACACTGTTTTAAAGAAGGTTGACATTCATAGGGCAATAACTGGAATTGGAGTCCTCATCAGGGACACAATCTAAGGTTTGAACTGCATTGGCTGTAGGGTGGAGCCCCTGAGAAAAGGGCACTGTGTGTAGCTCTGTCTGAATTATATTAGTCTTGCCATTAGTCTATTGGCCATGAAAGGGTGACTAAGTAGCACAGGATACTACTACCAATTCCTTCGGAATGCATCACTTGCCACCATTTAAACCTACCACCAAAACACACAAGTGCATAGGTCTGCAAAACATTCTGCAGAATGTGAAATACTTTATGCTTGGTGGATCCTGACTGCTTCTTTTTAAACAGGATATTTTTAGAGTGTTGTGCTTAAAGTTATTAGCAAATTCACCATAATGGATCAATGTCTATATAGTAATAATGAAATGTGGACCTCAGGGGTACTGAGAGAGAAGTGCAAGCAAGTGGCTTTAGAAGAACAAGCGTCATTGTTTGACTATCCTTTAAAAAATCAACTATTACCATGATGGCACCAAATGTACACAACTGGACATAGTGTTTCTAAAGATCCATCAGCTGTATGACTCCTTTGAGTTGAAAGTACAGGGAGGAAAATTATTTTGACCCAGTAAAAGAAGTATTAGATGTTCATGTGTCTCCCATTCAAGTATATGGAGAAGTAATACCTACTATAATACCCTAACGCCGAACAATCCACAATTCCAGCAGTCTTGCTTTTGATGAACAATCTGCAAGGTTTTGGATAACGATGTAGCTAATACATTGTGATTTCATTCAGTACTGAGGGCTACTTCATCTATTACATTTTCAAACTGTTCCTGTAAAACATTTTACATGTAAATCTAAAAATGCAATTGTGCATGTAGGAGCACATTTTCAGCAGTGTATGTTCACAGAGATATTCATATTCAGGAACCATGCTTGGCCATGGTATCCTACAGCACAAAGACTCATTTGATAGTGCATTATTTGTGAAGCACTTCCAACTCATGAATGCATGTCATTGCTTCATAAATATTTGTGGCATAAAGAAATTAAAACACAGTTTGTGGGCTCTAGAATGCTGTCAAGTCTCTTCAAACAGTAGGAAAGAATCAGCAGTTTTAACACATGGTCCAAAGTGATGCTTCCAATTCTACCTTTCAGCATTCACCCCTTTCTGAAGTCCACACCATGTACCTTCTTGCTGCAGAAAAGCTTCTTCTTAATGAAGTCAAGTACTTAAGAGCAGAAGGCATATCTGGTCCAACATTCCACTTCCCCTCACCATCCCAATAGGTATGAGAAGTCCACAAGCAGGATCTGAGGCCAGTAGACTTTACCAACTGTTACTCTGCAGCAACTGGCATTCATTCAGAGGCATGCTATCTTTGATCCTGGGGTAACATATAGCCAACATGGCTAGTAGTAGTCATGAATAACCATATCCTCCATTATTGTGTCTAATCACCTTTAAAACAGTATACTCTATAGCATGACTCGATGAAAAAACAATTAAAATCCCACAGTGAAAAAAGGAAACATTCAACCAGTGTAAGTTATGAAAATGCTTCACACTCCCACCTCCCTTACAGTAAACCTTGATTCTTTTCACAAGTTGTGTCTGAACTTCAAGCATCCAGACCCTTCCTATAAAGTCTCCTCTTCTGAATCATGATCGCTGTCTGGCTTGGTGAGTCTCTCAAGTTCTTCTCCGTCCTGCAGAAAATAAGAAGGGAAAGACAGTGAAAAGGTAACATTTGTCTAGGTTTGTATATGCTTTCAATTTATACTAAGACCTTAAAATGGACACAGTTCTGTCCACAATATTTCAGTTCTGTAGAGTTATACAACAATTTGTAAAAGAGTGCATTTTAATATACCCTCATCTCAGTGGTGGGATTCACCTTTCCCATTGATCTTTCAAATTTTCTGTAAGGTATTTTAATTTGCTTGATGGCCAGGATTCAAATAGAATGGGAAGAGAGTAAGCAGACTGATTTTAATGGATAATTCATATGTGCCCTACAAAGCACAAAGACCTTTTGCTAACACAGCAACTATGCTTCAATATTCTTCTTTCAAGACATTTTCTGTTTCAGCCTGTAAATGCACCATTTTAAAATCATTCATTCATCTTAGTCAAGCTTATTCCCCTTAGGATGGATCAGATCAGATGGTGGAATAAATAAACCCTGGACCTGAGCATGACAAATATCAGGTACCAGGTATGTGCTGTTGGCTCCAAGTTTATATGGTGATTATGAATTCAAAATACGTATTGTGCCCAAATTATCCATAAATATGTGTTGTTACTGCCAACTTCTTGTAACCACTTATTAAAAATCTTTAACAGAATTTCACATAGGAAGATAGAGTAGAAATTTTATGATACAATGGGAGACATTCAAGCAGCTGCCTTGGAATGTTCCATTGCAGGATTTTAATTATTTGCTCTGAAAGGTTCTTCTGTAAAGTTCATACAACTGCTCAGCTGAGCTGTTAACAAATAGCTAGTTCAACATAATTGTGCCAAAATGATAAAACCAAGCAGCTATACTTAATTTTCTTGAGGATGATAGCTCATGACTACCAAGGAGTAAGTCCGATTCAATGCATCTTACTCCCAAGCCAAGTGTGTGTGAGATTGTAGCCTAACTACACAATGCTATACTTTTCTACTCAGAAGTAAGTCTTATTGCATTCAATGGGAATTAACCCTAGGCAAGTGTGAATACAATGGCAACCTGTATCTTCTTTGTAAGGTACACAAAGGTCGAACAGAAAGTAGATCTCCAGGTGTTCGGAGCAGCTTATAGCATTCCTGACCATGGGCCATGCTGCCAGGGGCTTTTCTACCTTCTTCCCATCCTTATATCATACAACCTGGTCCTCCATGGGGGATAGATCCTACAGTATTTACCCATTTGTCCTATTGAGCTTTCTTAAATCTCTACTATTCCTTTACTTTGAAAATGGACTGGACTGTTCATTCTTCTTTTAGGCAAATAGCTGGTCAGTATTTTATACATACACACAATATTCCATCCTCCGGATGCTTAGACATCACTCAGGGCAGCTGACAACAATTGCAAGTTTTATATAGAACTTGATTTCAGCAACAGAATACTGAAAGTCTGCATTACATACTTTCTGCAATGGCCCCACAAGAATTTTAAAGAAAAGAACGTGTAGGGATACTTTTTTAGCATTTAAACCCTAACTTTTTGTATGTTATTACTGTTTCCCTTCATGGATCACTTCTGTACTGCCCTATCGTTCATTGTGCTCTCCGGGCACTTTACAGATTTAAAAATACGTAGGAACAACAAAACAAAAATAAAAATGTGATAATGGCAGGGGAAGGGGGGGCTGCAGCAATGCGGTGATGACAGGCCAACAAGTGCGGTGTGTGTCACCCAACATGCCAGGCCCCTCACGAGGTCCCCGCTGGGAGTCTCTGCCTCCTCCAGAGGCAGGTGCAGCAGGTGTGCAGTGGCAGCACCCTCTCTCCCCCTCGCCCCTTCTGCTCTCGCCAGGGGCATGGGAGAAATCCGCTGTGTCCAGCATCAGAGGACATTATATTGTTTTGCATTATACTTTTTGTAAACTGCCCCAAGACCTTGGGCTATTAGGCATACAGGAATGAAATATATGAACTGATATGCCGTATCTGATTTGGCAGTCTTTGACAAAGTTATACCATCCACACAAGTTTTGGAGAGTTGCTTCTGTGAAGAGAACCTAGCAGAGATCTAAGATCCTGTCCATAGAGGAATTTAGGAAATGACATCCTTCTATGGGAAAGTAACCCCTTTTAAGAGCATGCAAATGTTATTAGCAAAGTGGCTTTGTCAGTAGTGCCCCCTAGTGTTTAAACTCTATAAAAAGTAGCAATTCAACTCTGTGTAAGTAACCTTAAGTCCAATGAGTGAAACCATTAGGTGGGCTTAACTTTGCAATGTATTGCGTGCTTCCTCCCAGTGTATTTTGTTTTTTCTCAGTGCTATGGAATATGAAGGCTGTTTTACATTCTAAACAAAATATGCTTTAATGTTAACAGTGACTGTATTTGGAAGTGAAATGCTCCTTAACATTCTCTCACACACTCTCACACACTTTTAGAATCTGTTGCAACTATGCAATGCTAAAATTCTTGAGTGGCTGAGAATCTAGGATTGGAAATACTGCAGGGAAATTGGGTGTTTCACAGAGTGCATCATATTTTTAACACCATGAAAACTAAACTCTCCAAATCTGCTGTGACTGAAAAATGTTTCCAATCCTTTGTTTCAAAATGACAGCAATTAAGAGTATTGGGTTCAAATGACCAGATTCTCTACCCAGTATCCCTGCCTGTCAAGGAAGGAGTTGTGGTTTCAGAGAATGCCGCTCTGTGCAGAATAGGCACTTTGCCTCAACAACTGAAAGAAGTGTAACAGAAAGACACAGAAATGGAGGGCAAACACCATACAGAACACTCCCAGCAGTGGTACAAGGAACCAACTTGATCCTTCACTCCAGTGGCATGAGTTAATCATACCCCTGCTACAAAACACCAGCAGTTGTGCCACCAAGGTCAAAAGGCTACTACAGTGAATTGTAGAAATACCCCCCTGCTCTGCTTAGACTTTTCCACATTTTGGGGCATTACAGGCTGGAACTGAAATGCATTTCATTGGCATTGTTATCACTTCGTGTACACTGTTACGTAAAGAATTAACAAAAAACACACTGGCGGGTGAATATTTTTACAAGGCCTTGTATGTGCTATGGCTGTTCTTCTTACAACAGGGGTCTGCTGCACAGGCCTCTTCCAAGGCAGAAAGAGAGTTACAGAGAAAACAGTGGAAGAGCTGTTATGGGTCTGTTGTATTGCATTCCAGCAGCTGACAAGGGCAGCTTCCCGTCACTGTACTGCTGCTGCTCCTATGAGCAAATTACTTCAGTGAAGTTGGCACAAGCCTTTGTGGAAGCAAGAGCAGGGCTACACATTTGTCAGGGGCAGAATGCTCTTTTAACCACTGTAGCAAAAGCTTCTTGCATATGTCACAGCAGTTGCAGTGACAAGATGAAATCTGTTAGCCTATGCAATGCTTTGGAGAAAAGAGCTAGGCCACTGCTTGGGACCACGACCATATTACATCTGTCCTCAATTGCACTTATCTGTTGCACCCCAGCTGCTTTCTGGGGTCAGTTCAAGGTATGGGTCACAGGGCCACAATCAGAGGCTTATGCTAATCTTATGCAGAACGGGAGAAGTGGCAGAGACTTCTTGTCTTTGCATTTTTCTCTAGACGGGTTTTTCTGCCCACCTAGCTGGAAGTGGAGGGAAGGAATCCCCCTTTTATCCCTCTCAGAGGTTGCTTGCCCATCCTCATAAGGCAGTCAAGAGTTTTTCATTCCAGCTGTGGGGCGTGCGTGTCTGTGTCTGTGGGAGAGTTCTCCAATTCCCCAATCCCAAGTTGGAGCACTGTCTCTGACCTTGGGCCTGGAGAATCTGAAATATGTTAAGGTTCCTTAGATATAGTCTCAGGGGCACTGGGTTGCTCCCTAAATGGCTTACCTCCTGACTGTCTAAGGGACTGTTTCTTTGGTTATGAACCTGTCCATTTATTAAGATTAGAAGGAGAGACTCTTTTGAAGGCCCTGTTGCTCACAGAGGCCCATTTCTCAGGCATGCATGGAAAGGCTTTCTCCTGGGTCTCTCCCCAAACTGTTAAATTTGCTCCTCCAAGAACTATCATTTATTCCCAACCTTTTAGCTTTTAGAAAGTGTGTGAGGACATATCTTTTTAAACTAGCTTTTTAGGCTATGTAGTTGTTCTACTATTTTAAAAGTTATTTTTATTTGGAATGTCATTTTAAATGGTTGTACATTGCATTAATGGGTTTTTAGCAAAACAGAAAGCATATAAAAGATGCTAGCAATTACCACTACTTTCCAAAGCCTTACCCCACTGGAACGCTCCCATCCACCTCCACTGAGTTTGCTCCTCTCCCACTGAGCAGGGTATTCCATGCAGTGGGGGCTGCTGGAATGGTAGATAAATATGGACAAAAGTACCACAGGAGCTTCCAAGAAGAACTCCAGGGAAGGCTTGAAATCAAAAACAAAGACAGACACTGTGGTGATGATTACAGTAGTGACCTGTGCAGTCAAGACATGGAACATATTGTCTCGGAACTTCAAGATGAAAGCCACCGAAAGCCCCAGGAAGGCAGTAACAAAAATAAGTGCCACTGAGAACATGTTGTGGCCATAGAAGAACCCACAGTGTTCAATTTGGTGCCTATTTTCAGGACGCAGGCTCAGCATCAGCCCATTAAACATTGCCCCAAAAAGGTACAGCTTGGTATTCTGTACAAAGATGTTTTCGCTGAACTGGCCACCTTCTTTCAATATCTTCTCGTTGTAGATGTTGGCCAAAGCAGAGATAAAGCACTGCACTAGGATGAGCAGGTGTCCTAGGCCAAGACGGACAGTTCTCAAGGCCCCTGTGGCAGTGGTGACATTCCAACTGAAGCCAGGGAAGAACCACCTGGTTGTGCAGTTCTTTCTTCCCCAACACTCTTCCTCCAGTTTGGTGTACTGTAGGCAGCTGTTAGAATGGCTGAAAATAATCTCATGATGAAATCCATGCACAGTCAAGCTATGCTTGTTGCTTCCTGTTCCTGTCGTCAGGGCTACAATAGACAGGAACAAAATCAGGAGTGATGCCCACTGCACCCAGGACAGCTGTCGTCTGTGTGTAGAGAAGAAAGACTCTTTCAGCAAACGCATATAAATATGGAGCAATCAAACAAGTTAATGCAAAGAGCACAAGTGATGGCAGGAAAAAAACACCTATCTTATTAAGGCATAAAAAGATCACCTGCCAGTACACCAAGCAACACTATGGTACATAAATGCAAAGACAAAACTTTTTAAGTATGCAATATTCAAAGGCAAAAGGGACAAACTGCATTTAAAACTCTATAGATGGTGAATTTATCAGTGCTTGCATTGAAACCTTTTTGTGATGCTGGTGGCAGAATCTGGGTCTCCTCTGTAGGCTTATTTGTAGCCCAGTCTTACAATTTACTGATATACATTATGCCTACTTCAGTGATCTTTATACCCATGTGTCATGGGAGCATTCAGCAGTTTCAGAAACTGCCTGGGCTGCCATGAGCATAGCAAAGGAAAGTATCCTGGCCAAAAGACTGAAGACTAGACAGAGGTGATCTGAGCTTGGAAACACTCAAGAATTCCTTTGAACTCCGAGTTTTCAGCATCAACAGAAACCTATTTCATGCCAGTGCCAGCTACTAATAGGAAAATGAATAAAAAAAATAAAAATTAAGGAAGATGGGTAGGACATCTTGGCAGATGCCAAGAAAGGTATCCGGGACTGTATCCACGGTAGCCATGTTGCCTACAACTGTGATTGGTAATGAACCATGATCTGTCAATATTACTGATGTGTTTATTAAAATATAAAGAGTAAGAATGTTATTTCAAATACTTTGAGACACTTGTTTACAACTGCTTTGTTAAAAAATTGGTAAATATTACCGAGAGGAAACAAAGAATTTACAAATGAAAGCACACTTTTTAAGCTACTCACTTCAGCACTGTCCTGAATAGAAGAGCGGTTGTTATGATGACAAAATTTGAGAACAGCACTGCCATGGCCTAGGGAAAAAAAGATGAGGCGTAAAGGTACAAGCCAAATTGTACCTGTCTGGCAATAAGATATCCAACATACTCTTCTTCTAAAAGAAAAGTCAACTAACAGCGTGTTCCAGACTTATCACACAGCATGCGGAGTGGGGGAGGCAGTCTAACATCCTTTCCAGCAGTTTGCTCAGAATTGGCTTTCTAGAAAAGCTATGAAAACTGGCAACGCTTTTCCAGAAAGGAAAGAAGAAACATAATCTTCACACACCTTTCCTGAAATGTAGAAAGTGTGATTCATGGATCCAATGCTGACCTTCCATTCACAGACGCTTCCATGAAAAGTCCATGAGAAAGGGTAGTACAACCAAGTTTCTTGTCCCCTTGAACGCACTTGAGGCTTCAAGAATGGACAACTGCCTCTTTCAATTGATGCAGATCTTTGTGTAAGCAGTCCAACTATCATTTAAGGTGCCAATATTATGCTGCCTGTAAAAGTCAATGAGTTCACAAGAGGATAGTGAAGAAGTTCTTTGGTCTATTGGTAGATGGAGACTTTTCTTTCCACATACAAATACTTACCTATTCTAGATCAGCACTGTAATGAGATTCTGAACCATCTCTGCCAGATCTAGCTGTACCTGAGTTTGTACAATAAAACAATCCCACATCTTTACTATAATGATATCTCTTGAATATTGCCTATTGAATTTTTTCCAGGCCAGAGATTGTTGCTTAAAAGTATTCAGTTACTTCAGTGTGTGGTCTTGCAGATGTGGAAGTGTGAATGTCACAAATGATCAGGCTCCATCACAAAGTTGGCAGTATCTGGCACCATGCAATTCCAATTTAAAGAACACACAGACATGAAATGGCATTACCAAATGAATACAAATATGCAAATATACATACAACATACCGAACAAGCAATGCAAGATCAAAAGATGGAATCTCTCTGTCAAGGCAGGTCAGGCCAAGTGATCTAGATAACACATTCCTCGCTCTCCCATATATGCCAGCATTTGTACTGTGATTAGTGATGCAAATATCTGCCTGGAATCTGGCTTTCTTGCACTTTTAGGAATGCTTATTTATTTCATTTTTATATCAATAGCCAAAGCCTATTTTTTCTTTTCTACACTTGGCCTTGGCCTAGCAAACAAGCTGAATCAAGAGCAAGTTCATGAATACCAGCATGTTCCTTCTTTGTGCTGAATTCCTTTCCCACTAAATACAGCAAAATCACATATATGAAAAAGCAGAACTCACTTGCACAGAGGGCAGAGTGGGCAAGCCAGCCTTGTCAGCTATACCTGCACATTTGTAATCTAATAGGCAAGAGTTGGACTCACTTCCTCCTGGAAACCCAGGTGAACATTCAGTGCAAGTCAGATTTAAGGCAGAAAAAGCAAGCTGGGGTCTAGGGAGTTGAGCTAAGAAAATCCAATGGATTCTGTTCCCCAAACTGGATTCCTCACACATCACTAATTAAGATAATTTTAAAACAGAGTTTTGCATTATGTCTAGAATAAATTTTAATCTTACTTATTATATTTTGAATATTTATATACTGCTTTTAAGATGGTTGGCACTATACAGGGTAGTTCTTTGTAAGTTGAAGAGTGCCCTGGCACAGTGTTTATTCTTGGATTTATAAACCATGGGATTGGTTAAATTCAATTCAGTCCAATTTCCCCTAAAAATACAACACAACCACTAGTTCATCTGGACAGGTACAGAGGCAGAAAAGAAGGAACATCTACTCTTTCCCAATGTGACCATAATTTGGCAGAAAGAGCTTGTGAGGTATAGTGGTTAAATGTTGGATTGGAAAATTTGGGTTCAAGTCCTGACTTGGTCATGAAACTCATTATGTCACTAGGTAACTTTGAACCAATCACTAACTCTCAGCCTAAGCTACCTCACAAGGTTGTTGGGAGGAAAAGCTGGCCATCTTGGTCTCCTTGAAGGAAAACAATGGATATACATGTAGCAAATAAACAAATTGGCACAGGCTATGCAGGAAGGGATCTCATTCAGTCTCCATGAGACTCCTGAAAAGAGAAAATTTCCTAATTCCTGATGTGCTACTTACCGGCTCAAGGTAGGACAACACATAGAAGACAATCAGGTTATCCAGAAAATAAAGAAAGGCAGGAATTGACCACTTAATGTAGCTGTACAACTGCCTCCATGAACTGCAGCCAAATCCACTATGAGAACATCCTCCTAGACGAGGGATACACAGAGCAGAGAAAGAAATGATTAAACGCTAATAGGAATAATTGCTGATAAGACTTGGCCACAGTTAAATATAAAATCTGCACTCTCTCTCTGCTAAGATCAACTTAAAAACAATTTCTCCAAGGGCTTGTTCAAGGTGATTACTTACATTTAAGGCATTAAGGCATTTGTGTGAAACAGTCACAGTGGACTGAATCCCATAGCAAATTGGACTTTTTCCCTTTATTCTTTCCTCTACATGCCCCCATGATCTGATCTAACGGGATGGGAAACCTCCAGAGCAGAATTTGAGAGCACATGGATGTGTGGCATGAGGAAATGGCCCACTTCAGATTCTACAGATGGAAGCACTTCTGTTAGTGAAATGACAGCATTGAAACCAATGAAATGTTGGTACTTTTATCATAAGACAAAGCATGAACTGGGTCTACTGGGTTTAGTGGAAATTACAGAAATCCATGGAGGAGCGGTTCCATCAATGGCTTCATGGAAGCATCAGAGTATGAGTTGCAGAAGCATCAGAGGGCAGGAGACTGCAGAGGACACAAGCTACCTCCTCCCCTCTCTGCCCCCTTTACCCCAACCTCAGAGATGCTGCTGACATTCTTTCCACAACAGCTGCAATCGTGGAAAAGGAGCAAAGATTCCCAGTTCCAAGGCTGCAGTGGTTTGTCCAGCCTCAGGGATGGGATTCTGAATTATCTTACGGCCATAGAGGCTTAATTTAAAAACAAAAAAAACCATGCCAATCCCAGAAAAAAAGATGCAGGTTCAAAATGACATATGAAAGGGGATGTAGTTTAGTTTATTTTCTTTAAAAACTGAAGGAACCAAAAGAAAAATATACATTTATAAAGTGTTCCAACTGTGCTTTTGCCTCTCCTGTGCCCTTTGCATCTGAAGGAATAATATTAAGTATATATTTTTTTCAGTGTCCACTAACAGCATAAACAGGATTGGAAGCCAAAGATCTGTTTTAAGCCAATCCAAAGATGTGTGAACACCCAACAGGATTTTTGAGAGGACTTTCCTTCCAGATTCCTTTGACTAGCACACCTCTGTTGCCATATCACAATTTTTCCCCTAAATCTTTTCACTCTCAGAAGTCTTTTTCTATACCTTACAACTCATAGTTTCTTGGATTCTTGAAGTATTCTAGTGAAACTGACTAGCAAGCATTTTACTTCCTAAAACAAAAAGCATTTATATGCTCTTCCTTAATGCCATTATGAATGCACTTAAAAAGACATTATCAATCATATCTCTTCACCACAGCAGGGACAAGGAAAATACCTTCTTAAAGAGCTTTGCTAATGCAAATCTAGTTGAAATCAGAATAATCAAAGGTAAACAACAGATGCAAAAGGAAAATATCTGCTCCAGTGTCTGCTGGCCCCTCCTTTCAAAGATTATCAATTTTACAAGGACAGATATACTGTGAATAAGTTAGCTATTAGATAGGTAGCATAAAATTACTTAGCAAGTACTATAGAAAGGCCATTGTAAGACCTTTAAAGTATATACGTAGTTTCATGGTAGACTGATAGGCAGAATTAGTATGTTAGAGGCACATGACATCTCAGACACAAAACTGGGAAGAACATTACATAAGTATTTATAAGCTTATTGTACTATGACCCACTTGAATTTTGTGCAGTCTCATAAAATATATCCATTAAAAAACTCTGCAAAGATGAAAAATGTTTTGCCCAGAGAGAAGAACTACAGCTCTTATATTCTATGACTGAGATGCTTCAGACCACTGAAATGTTAAATCACTACCATGTTCAGTGCAGTAACACTGGATCAACACAGATCTCATGTAATAAGACTGAAGACAATGCAAAGAAGATGCATTTCAGAGATGCCAAAAATGCCCTAATGTATAGCAAACTGAGAAAGACTAGCCCACAGCTAAATATAATGTGAAAACTCACAAAGCAGCTTACCTTTTCTTGTTACCCAAAGTGCCATAATCAGACACAGCATTAGCTTAACCAATTCTGAGCATACATTCACAGTTGCAGGAAGGTAATCATACTTGTTATCTGTAGAAAGTGAAAAGTAAAGAGAGGTCATATCGAACACAAGTACTGACATAAAACTTACAATAGGTAGTCTGTACATGCATGTATGGTCAGCAGATGCAAGAATGTGATTTATGTTATCAGTAACCTCTATTTTCATATAAAAATGTTCCCAGTTCAGATAGCTGCAAAGCACTGCATGAAAATATGCACATTATTTCTGCTGAAGCTGTAGATAAGAGGGAACTCAAACAGTGAGGTTTTTGTGTCCTACATATTGCTGTGCCTTCCCTCAAATCTCTATAAGCTTCATATTATTTGTTTTAAACTTGTTCACCCTTGCTCTAGAAAAAACAAAATAAGAGCTGGTTGTTTTGCTTGATGTCATGGGAAGTTATTTTGCTGCTTACTTCAACAACTCTCATATAAAGTGGCTCTGAAAAGAATCCAGGTTGCCAAATAATCTAAACCAGGGGTCTCAGACTCAACTTACCTGGGGGCTGCTGGAAGTAGAGTCTGGGTGAGGCTGGGCCGCATCAA